CGGCGCGGCGGGTCGCTCTCCGTACCAGACGCTCGCGAGATTAGCGGGATTAGTTCAGTAGCGAGAGGCACTTGTCGATCGTCTTCTAAAATTAAACGGGTATTTATTGTTATCATTTTGTTTAGCTGTAATATATTCATTAAGTACCTACTATTAAACACTTTCTACAACATATTACATCAAAATTTTGAATTGAATCATAATTTCTATTGAACCTGTTTCTGTGATATCACTGAGAAGTCTGTGGAAGCCTAACGCCCTCAAGATGGTATAGGACGTAAGCCGGCTTTCGGAGAGTGTAAATAATATTTAATAAAATAATTATAAATTATTATTTCCGATGTAATTTCACTCTACGGTTTTCTTGAGTTAAGAAATAAACGCGAGATCATTGTGCAAGTAGACGAGAGAGCCACCAGGGGGTGACGCTCACAGCCTGGCGAAGAGACCCCACCGGATGGCCGGACTGAAATGCGTTAGTTCTACTAGACGCATTAGTACACCACCTGAGGCTAAAGGCGCCACAGACAACGCGGCGACGGCACCCTCGCTGACGGGCCCCCATGCGCGAGGAGGAGCGCCCGGACGGCTCCTCAGCACGTCATCACGTGAACAGCCCAGTACATACAGTCCATATTTAGATACACACAAGCCGCTTCGATTCTGAACTAGTTTATTGTCTTAAAGCATTTTGGAGAGACACATTTTGTTATTTATTTGTGAGTATTGTTATGATCTACTCAAGAGCGCGAACTCGCACGCACTGACTCAAATTTATTTGTTATCAACAGCACTGTAGCGAAATAAGACTTGCACTAAACCCGGCTCACAACATATAGTAGGTGTAAGAAGATGACCGGTGACGTTTGGACCGTGGCGGACCAGTGAGTGCCATCACAACAGTATACCAGCTAACTGCTAACGCAATACAACTAGCTGTGTCGTGAGGCTCTCAGGGGAAGTCGCACGTCAAACATATCGATAATAATAAGCACATTTTTGTAATCGATTGTATTATAATAAATTTCTAGGTCAAGTTGCATTGAATCATTATTCAGTCAAAATTTGTGTGCGCTGGATAATTACCGCCGAATGTTTTCTGGGTCATACGTAATGTTCGCGTAATGCAGATTTACAGATTCTTTTATTGTAAATATTATATATACAGCTCGGAGATATATTACTTGCTTTTTTTAAGAATCAAGAGTAGATTTTTATAGCCGCCGTCCCCGACGTCCTCGTGTTATCCTGTCGTTGTGGGGGTGGGCGGGTAGTCGATAGCAGACGAGTACCAAGTTTTTTAATAAAATACGTACTTATCTCATGCTCTCGAATGATTTCTATGCTGATGGAATGACATCGCGTACTAAAAACCAAAATTAAATCAATTGTAATTTGCGTAATTAAGATACAATTGAGCTATAGAACTCAAAAGTCAAGGTGTGGTCTGTGGGCTCTGGTAACCACTTAACATCAGGTAGGCTGTGAACTCGTTCAACCTGGTATGCAATGAAAAGAGACCTTAATCCATGATAAGAAAAACACATAAGCGTTGCCCGCATCTAAACACAAGTGGGGACGGCGGGATGGATGTATATGGATAATAATATGCTCTGCGGAAACCCTGTCCCGCTGTCTCGACAGGTCCGACTGGGCTCCGGCCCGGTCCGAGGTAGGGCGCCGACTGTGAGTGTCAGCAGTTTTAATGAGGTTCAACTCCCACATACCCCACCCGTGCCGCAGTGCTGGTGGGGATCCGACGATTATCTCCCGTGGAAAAAAAAATCCAAGGACAAGTAGTAGACTGGAGGCTCACAGTTGTTCTAGGAGTCTAGGCCAGTGGTCGGCAACCTAGATAACCAAAAGAACCAAATATAGATAATATACATTTGAAATTTATTCAAAGAACCTTTTTTTTCCTATCTAGCTGAGAGCCTTGAGAGGCTATTTCAGGGTAACCTTAACTAGTAGATGAGCTCACGGGGCTCAAAGCTGATGATGTTGCTAACACGAACCCTAGAAAGAGCAGTGCTTCGCAGAATCTACCATCGGATCGGAAACGCGACCCACTGAGAAGATCCGGCTAGAAACTCGGTGGGCTGTGTCTGAGGGTTAATTTACTCGCCGAGCCCTTCTTCGCAAGCGACGGGTTCGACGAAAATGATGACCGGCACAGATTCGTTATGGCTAGAGAGAAAATATACAATTTAGGAGGCGCGAGAGTGAGAAAATAGACAGAGCGTCTCGCGAACCACTCGACCGGGGAGAGAGGGAGAGTACAAAGCGAGTTAGGTCGTTATTTAGTTTAGCGACATCTATTGGATTTCATATAAACTAGTACATTGCAAGGCCAACGGTGTTAACAGCTTAGTTTCTAAAATATTTACAGAGAGCGGTATTTTAAATAAAGGTACTGTTTTAAATTTCCACTAAAAATACCTCAATCGTGGACGAAGTCAATCGTTACGTTACACCTTAGGTGTCGTTCAGTAATTATCGACTACCGGCAAATACTTCTCGCTTTATTTCTCGACGTACGTTGAAGTTTCACATGGATTCACATGCGCCAAGTTGCACACGCACTAGTTTTATTATATTTATACAGATATGTATGTAGGTAATTAGGCATATGTACATACATGAGAATATTAAAATGAGATGAATATCATCTTAACAGAGAATACATAGGTGAACTATAATATAATAAGAATTTGAATTGTTACATTTTGAACAAATAAACAGGATACATTTTGTCTGTAGTTGGTAAAGCATGGCTACCTGGCGGCTAGTGACGCTGGCGGTCGTGTGCGGAGTGGCTGCAGCAGGCGGACACGTTGACAGACTTGCTACAGGTTTGTAAACGAGATGATTTGGTCAACCTTTACCTGACTAACGAGTAATGTATGAAAACAAAGATGTGGAGCCCGGGCGCGACCCTCGGGGCTGCGGCCCGACTGTCGCTAAGGTCTCTGCGAGCTTGTCTGGATGGAATAATTCGTATTATTGCACGCTTAGACCAGGCGGGAAGCCATCTTCATTTTTATACCATTGTCCTTTCAGATGAGCAGTACGCACAGTTCCCGACACTGTTCCAACTGGACGATTATCATAAGTGTCTGGCGAGGCCTGAGGGTCTGTACTGCGTCGGAACTTTCAACATCAGGCCGCTGCGAAGACCAGACCCTCTCTTTGATATGCTCAAGGTAGATAATACACATTTGAAATTTATTCAAAGAACCTTTTTTTTTTCCTACCTAGCTGAGAGCCTTGAGAGGCTATTTCAGCGTAACCTTAAGTAGTAGGTGAGCTCACGGGGCTCAAACCTGACGACGTTGCTAACACGAACCCTAGCAAGAGCCGTGCTTCGCAGAATCTACCACCGGATCGGAAACGTGACCCACTAAGAAGATCCGGCTAGAAACTCGATGGGCTGTGTCCGAGGGTTGTGCACCCACCGCAACTGAAAATATTTAGCGATAATAACAGCGGAGCTTGACCGATTCTAGGGCCCGTCGCCACAACACGTACAATAAATTGGTGTTCGCGCGATCATTGAAATTTGAATAGGTATAGTTTATTTATGTATTTATTGCACAAAGAGGTGAACGAACTCTCACCTGTTTCGAATGTTCAACGGAGCTCATAGACATCACACTCTTCAAGCCGGAACGCATTGCTGTGGTGTGGGGACTCAGAAAGGGTTTTACCACTATTGTTTACCAGTATTTTTCTTAAAAAGCAATTTGTTTCATATTTTTGAGCAACGGAAAAATCTAGGAAACTATCATCTGTGTTTTTATTGGTGAAATAGCCTAAACAATTGCGACTTTTATCAGGATTTCTCCAAAGACACAAGAAATTTCAACCGAACTCGTTTACACCGCGGGTATTGTGTGAACACGCGGTGTGGTGCTCTACCAGAGACCAACACTACGTTGCGCTTCGAGCGATGCGTGGCGCAGTGGGGCAGGAAGCGCGGCATGCACCTGTCGCTCCAGCAGCTGCAGTATTGCCGGACACACGTGCAGGAGAAGGCAGCAAGGTCCGGGCCCCTGCCGCTGGAGACTTCGCACCGGGTGTTCCTGGCAGCGATCGCTGCGATCGTCTTTATGAATTTCATTGGAACTGTATACGATATGTCCGCTAAAGATGACGATAAAAGTAAGTAAATAAGTAAAGTGAAATGGTGTTGCGCTCGCCGTGACTAAGATGTTTCTTTACATTTCAGAAAGCAAGCTCCTTTCCTCGTGGTCGATCAGATCGAACTGGCAGTACATAGTCGGGCCCTACCCGGACGGTGACCCGCGCCTGGCAGTCCTGCTTCCTGTACAAGCGTTTAGGTCATTTTTCGGTTTAATTTGACATTTTTCTTTTTATTGCTTTATAAGGCATTCAATATTTAATCTGTCGCAAATAATTCATGCGTTGTGGCTTAGAGAGTGGAATAGGTGTATTACTGAAACTGAATATGGTCAGTGAGGTTTCAGAGACGTGTCTCAAAGTTGCAGTGTGACTCATGCTCGGGTCGGTCTATTCCCAAACCGACGTCACTGAAGTTAAACACGTACACTATTGAATCTCGATCCGGCTGCGACTTGCATTTTAACTGATATTTGCATATTTTTTTAATATTTCAGGACAATAATGCTACTTCTAGTGATAATGCTCCACGTTTGTATGATCCACGTCGCTTTGTACATACAGAACCCAGAGTTTATTGAGCGGGTAACTATAGCATTAACTATATCTAGCTATCAATGTATGTACATGATCTGAATAGTGTGCACACACAGCACCCGTCACCGCGTCATCTTGTTTGGTTTTGGACTAAAAGTATTCGTCAAGTATCTATTGGAATATAAGTTAGTTAGTTAGTCATTGTAAGGTCAACAAATTAAAATCGTGATTAGGCGTAACGATTGCTACCATTCAATATGATGATGTACTTCCCAGACGTACCACAAGACAGAAGTAACAATCCTTCGGAATGGATCCTCGTCGGTACAGATGTTCTTTCTACTGTCTTCGTTCCTAATGGCGCAGGGGATCCTACACTCGAAGGAGGAACCAAGCCTTCGGCTGTTCTTCAAGTTGTTGCTTAAGAGGATAGTGAGGTGGGTAAAATTGATGTGAATAGAAAATATCCTAGTTGATTCTTGGCCGGAAGCAGTCTACTACATAGGGTTGGTCTCTCATAAGCAGTATCCAATCTCGTGTTGAAAGCCTACGGAAACACGTTCTCAAATACAATGCCAATTTTATTTGTAGAAACAAAGAAAAATAGGAACGCCATAAATTTTTCCAAGTGAAGTGGTACCGTTAATTACACGTTAATTATTACTGTATTCAATCCCAGCCTTTTAACTGTTTTCTTGCCTTCATAGACACCGGAAGCAGCATTAAGCAGATGATGATGACGCGGTGTATTTCAGGATAAGCCCAGTGTATCTGCTAGTGATCGAGTTCGCGAGTACTTGGTGGCCGCTGATGCGCGGAGGACCGCTGTGGCCGGTCGTGGTCGAGGCAGAGAGTGCGGTCTGCCGGCGCAAGTTCTGGGCGCACGCCTTCTTCTACAACAACTTCTTTGACGACAGTAAATACTGTCAAACACAGACTTGGTAAAGTGTTTTTCTCAACACAAATCACCCAACTCACAGAATTACAATAAACCTTCCATATAAAACGAATTCGTTTTCTCACTTTATAACTCTTGTTGTTGATATAACGAGTTAGAACCTCACCTATGAAATTGCCGTTTAGTATAAACAACAAGAAGAAACTTAAAGTATTTTTTTGATTAATATTTTTATTTTTTTTATTTCTATCAATCAAAATATGTATCCATGGTATCGATGCATCGCTGGCAGTGCAGTGGTAATTTTCCAATACACCTCTTGACGAAGTCAGGGGTAAGGGAGCTAACAAATTCTTCAAAGGCATTTGGTGCTGCCTTTTGGATCTTGTATTTTTTCCCTGTTAACAAATTATCCAAACTTTAGAAAAAGTGGTCTGTCAATACAAGATTCGGTGAGTACGANTCAAAATATGTATCCATGGTATCGATGCATCGCTGGCAGTGCAGTGGTAATTTTCCAATACACCTCTTGACGAAGTCAGGGGTAAGGGAGCTAACAAATTCTTCAAAGGCATTTGGTGCTGCCTTTTGGATCTTGTATTTTTTCCCTGTTAACAAATTATCCAAACTTTAGAAAAAGTGGTCTGTCAATACAAGATTCGGTGAGTAATAATGGATGACGCAAAACTTCCAACCCTAGCTCTTGTAGTTTAAAGATCGTCTGTTGTGCCGTATGAGGTCCAGGGTTGTCATGTAAAAGCAGTGGGGTCCAGCGATTAACTAAAGTAGGCCGGATATTCACGAGCTTGTCCATCATTGTGTTTTTTTTTATGCATAAGTGGGTGAACGTACTCACGGCAGACCTGATGTTAAGTGGTTACCGGAACCATAGACATCTACAACATAAATGCCGCCACCTACCTTGAGATATGAGTTCTAAGGTCTTATCAGTATAGTATAACGGCTGCCCTACCCCTCAAACCGAAACGCATTACTGCTTCACGGCAGAAATAGGCAGGGTGGTGGTACCTACCCGTGCAGACTCACAAGACGTCCTACCACCAGTAAATTGTATCCAGATCCTCACAGTACACATCCGCAGCAATGCTGGTGCCATTTGATCAGAAGCTGCAATGAATCACACAAGCACTAGACCGGTAAACAGTGACATGACTTTGTTAGGGATCAGTTTTCATTTGGGGGATTGTCTAGGTGCTGAGCCAGGGTCGGTGGTAACTAACAAAAAGTATCCACTTTTTCATCGCAAGTGCCAACGCGGTTAAAAATACCTTCGTAATTCGGAGCTATTGCAACTAAGCGTGGTAGGTGAGCTCACGGGCTCAACCTGAGAGAATTCGCTAAAACTGATCTTAGCAAGCGCTGTGCTTCTTTGAATCTACCACCAGATCCAAATCCAGTCCACTGAGAAGATCTGGCGAGAAACTCAGTGGGTTGTGTCTCCATAGACATTATTTCTTGGTTACATTAGGTCAATAAAGAAATGATTAAATTTTAAAATACAGTTCCATATTATTTAAATAAAATTAATTTGAATTTACTCGTAGTATTGATTGTTAGTCATACACAATTACGTAAGAAAAGGCCAGTATTGTGAAACGGCAACTTCATAGGTAAAGAAAGAGCTATTATGATACATCAGAAACTGTTACACACATCCCACCAACTATAAAATAGTTAATTTTTTCTTGAATATGAAGAAGATTAGTTGATGGATAAATGTTACGCACAGACCTCTAGCACACGCTATCGAGCGCACGAACCGCTTGGTATAGAGTGGTTACCAAATTCCGCAGACATCGCACAGTGTATAGTGTAGATACAGCTGGTACCAATTGTAATTCTTGATCTATGTGTTAGGTTCTTGGCAGTGGACATGCAGCTGCACGCGCTGGGGCTGGCGGTGGTGATGTGCACGCGGGGCGCGGGGTGGGGCGCGAGGCGGGGCGTGCTGTGGCTGCTCGGCACCATGTTCCTCGCCTCCTGTCTCCTCAACACCTGGATGGCCTACGTCTCCGAGTGGCAGCCGCTCATGTTCGTCTCGGTACCTGAGTGAGTACTAGCAGTGTTCACTCTCAGCTCGCCTTGCGTTAACCGGCCATGGGGGACCGAGAGAGCCCAATGCGTCAATACCACCGACTGCCTCCGTTGAGAAACCCTTCTTAGAAAGTACGAGGACTAGGTTAGTAGACCCACAGCTTTACATATTATTACTCACTTGGATTTACGCCCACCCTACTACATAATAAATAACCGAATGAATACGTTCAATGATATTAGTAGTGATGTAGTAACAGATGATCTTGGAACATTCTAGGAACGTGAGAACAATGTTCAGCGGAGAGCCCACCTTCAGCGAGTACTACACGAAGCCGTGGGGCAGCCTGCCCGCCAGCCTGCTCGGGCTCCTCGTGGCGCATCTACACCACCACCTCTACCAGCGAGGTTTCAAACCAGAAGAACACAAGGTATACTTCGAATTTTGGGTTTCGTAAGGCTCACAAGTAGGTACTCACTTTGTGTGTGGTATAGTATTAGAATCAACAAACTTGATTCTTGATCCTTGAGCTTTGAGCCTTGATCTCCGGTGCCAACGTTACGATTCCCAGCTATTGCCAGCTCTATCAGATCACATATATTTACATTCTGATCATTTCGAAAGCTCATAGCGTTACAAAAATTGGGAATAAATCGAGTTCAGTTTTTTATTTTTTATTGCTTCGATGGGTGGATGACCTTACAGTCCACAGTGGTTATTGGAGCCCATAGACATCTACAACGTAAATGCGCCACCCACCTTGAGATATAAGTTCTAAGGTCTCAGTATAGTTACAACGGCTGCCCCACCCTTTAAACCGAAACACATTACTGCTTCACGGCAGAAATAGGCGGGGTGGTGGTACCTACCCGCGCGGACTCCCAAGAGGTCCTACCACCATTTCCTTACAAAGATCACCTAGCGATCCTCAATGATGAGGAGGAGGATGTATCTGTAGTTGTTGGTGCCTCCCAGGGACTGATCGTGGCCTGCCAGTCGATGGTTCCTGTGATCCCGGCGTGGGTGCTGTGCGGGAACCTGGTGCGCAGCGTCAGGTCGCGCGGGTTCATAGCGCTGTACATGGGGCTCGAGGCGCCTATGCTGTGCGTGATGGCGGCGCTCCTTCTATTCGGCGCCTACAATGGATCCATCAAAACTGATATTGGTAACCACGACCACGCATTGGCACAAGGTTTCTACTTTTCTAATTAACCAGCCCCGTGAGCAATTACATAGAATCGTCAAATCTAATCAATAATTATTTACATTCGTGGTTCGACAAATTAACTATAATATATAGGTAACAGAAAAATCATAAAATTGTAAATGGTATTGTTAAACATGAGTGAGCCGTGAGCCCGCCAGTTGCACTAGCGACTAAGCTTTTAAGCGGTAGACCCGCAAACAGATTTGTTTTAAAGCTCATGTATACACTCTGTAGTTGTCGTGATAATAGAAGATTCGTCTTTGTGTTCGGCTTCGTCTCAGCACCTTTTTATGACGCTCTTAGCAATGGAATTTCGAAGTGATCCCAGCCTGCGTTACAATAGATTTATCGTACGCCGTTGTGACCGGTTTGGGAATTCAAAAGTTGAGGCGATCGCCTTGTCTCCTGTTGTTACTACGAGTATGTACTGCTAGATGATAGAGGCGGATGATGGGGAACTCATATGACATGTACGAGTACATAGTAGTACCTATAATCACATGAAGATTTTCTATTTCATTCAGGTAAAAAGACGACGCCTGCCTCAAAGGGTGAGTATTGATTTAATGTTAAAAATTTATTTATTAAAATACGAATCTGTAAACACATGGCTGTGGAATGTATCTGCAGGTGTAATACGAGTAAGGTAAAATGACCAAAACCTAGTTATATTTTTGTCTTGCTATGAATACATATTGTTACAAGATTGGCTTCGTTTTTCATTCTCTCACACGAAACATTAAGGCTGCTGCGATGTACTTTAGTTTACATGTAGGGTGTCCCACAAGGCATCTTTCAGGCCGAAAACACTGTATAGTGTTCGACTGGGGCAATCACTTCGACAAACAACATAGGTATGTTCCCGAGTAGTTTCGGAATGAAGAGTGGTTGTGTACACACGCGCTCCCCCTCGACGCGGCGACGCGGCGACGCGGCGACGTGGTGAGGAGGTGCCGGTCTGCTTGTTCCTCTCGTTCAGACTTCACGTCAAGTTATTAACAAAAACATACTCACGGAATAATAATACAAAGTCGAATTCAACTAAAGTTCTGTTATATTTTTTACAGATATAACCGCACAGCGCATCGCAACAAAAGGTAAATTTTATGAATATAGTTGACTGCAGAGCGGGTGCAGTGGTCGACCCGACCCGTACAGTGCTGCGTGCTGCGACGGTCGCGTCTCCTAAAATGATTCTGCTCGAATGAGTACTCTGAGGAATTGTGCAAGATACCGGCATCTCGTTTTTACCATCGCACCGCCGGCCACCGGAGTAGAGTTCGTCCATACTACCTGGAGCCACTGCGGCCATCCACAGTGCGTTTCCAGAGGTGTTTTTTGCCACGTACCATCCGGCTATGGAATGAGCTCCCCTCCACGGTGTTTCCCGAGCGCTATGACATGTCCTTCTTTAAACGAGGCTTGTGGAGAGTATTAAGCGGTAGGCAGAGGCTTGGCTTTGCTCCTAGCATTGCTGAAGTCCATGGGCGACGGTAACCACTCACCATCAGGTGGGCCGTGTGCTCGTCTGCCTACGAGAGCAATAAAAAAAATCAAAAAACTTTAGTAACTTTGTTAGTTGCTCCTCTGAAACAACGCGCGTGTTTAGAGTGGATGAGTGCGTTGATGTGTGTGTGTGGGCGCAGGGTACCTGCAGCACGTGTTCTGCTGGCGCGGCTGGTTCGCGCTGGGGAGGCTGTCCCTCTCCGCGCTGATGCTGCACTGGTGCGTGTACACACTGTTCGCGGCCTCCGTCAACACGCCGGTCACGTCCTCTGCGCTGCACATTGTAAGATTTCTTACCTATTATCGAGATGTCTGGTTGTGCGCAGTGCATAATCAGATATTTTTTTGCCATTATTTCATACCATTCGGCTCTAAAATGAACCCCCTCTAAGGTGTATCTCGAGCACCATGATATATCTTTTTTCAAACGAGGTTTGAGAAGAGTCCACATCAGTAGATAGCGACCTGGGTCCGCCCCTAGCAATACATATGTCCATGAACAACGGTAACTAATTGCCATCAAGAGGGCCGTCTACGCGTTTGCCTACGATACTAAAAAAGAGATGATTTCCTATGATTTATGCGAGACTCCTAAGATAGGTATATATCTTTTTATTGCTTAGGTGGATGAACGAGCGCATGGCTCACCTGGCGCTAAGTGGTTACCGGAGCCCATAGACATCACATTTGAGGTTTCAGTTGAGTACGGATGCAAAATAAAAACTTGCTAGTTTCGTTTTTATTATTTTATTTGTTAGTTTTTGTTATTTCTTCAGCGGGAAAGTCACGGGAGCTCATGAGCACTGCTCGTTAAGTACTCGCTCGTATTTCATTAGAGACATGTGTAGCTGGCCACGGGATACGAACAGCGGCGCAGTCTCGCATTACTCGATTTTTTTATTTTTTTATTGCTTAGATGGATGGACGATCTCACAGCCTACCTGATGTTAAGTGGTTATTGGAGCCCATAGACATCCACAATGTAAATGCGCCACCCACCTTGAGATATAAGTTCTAAGGTCTCAAGTTTAGTTACAACGGCTGCCCCACCCTTCAAACCGAAACGCATTACTGCTTCACGGCAGAAATAGGCAGGGTGGTGGTACCCACCCGCGCGGACTCACAAGAGGTCTTACCACCAGTAATTACGCAAATTATAATTTTGCGGGTTTTCATTTTTATTACACGATGTTATTCCTTCACCGTGGAAGTCAATCGTGAACATTTGTTGAGTACGTATTTCATTAGAAAAATTGGTACCCGCCTGAGATTCGAACACCGGTGCATCGCTCAACACGAATGTACCGGACGTCTTATCCGTTAGGCTACGACGAATTCATTCGATTGTCAGCTTGTCTCTTTCATGTACTCATAGTGAGTCGTAGTGACTCGTGCACAGTGTGTACCTTGCGGCGGCATGGTTGCAGGCGCGGGACACCCTGGCGACGGCGTGGCTCACGTACGGGGCGGCCCTCCCCCTCACGCTGCTGGTGGAGGCGCCCGCGCTGCGACTCTACTCCGCCCTCGTCCACTGAACGCTCCGAAGATGTAACGACCGCCCGGCTACTTGTATTCTCAACTGATTATGTATATTGGAGGTTTTTTTTGTTTGGAGACAAAAATGATGACATTACTTTTTTTTCTTAGATTAAGAAAATTAGTTTCTTATTCAATATGTGTCTCTTAATAGATTACATTAAATGATCACATTAAATAAAATTCATTGCTATAATGATTTATTGCTATTGTTTGAAATAAAAATGAAAATTATACGAACATCTTTTTTAATCCCAAGAGCAAAATGAAGTAGCCGTGTCCAAAAAAAAAAGAAACTAGACATAAACTAGATTAAACAATGTTTAATTACTCAACATCCTCAGAGATCTTGTACAACAAACAAAATATTAGGTCTCAACACAGCCCAGTGAGTTTCTCGTCGGATCTTCTCAGTGGGTCGCGTTTCCGACGCAGTGGTAGATTCTGCGAAGTACGGCTCTTGCTAGGGCCAGTGTTAGCAACACACCTGGCTTGAGCCCCGCGAGCTCACCTACACGTTAGGGCGAAGCTGAATTAGCCTCTCAAGGTTACCAGCTTATGTAGGAAAAATAATCATAATATTTATAAATTATGTGTCACGTTGTTTGCCCGCGATGAACACCTAAACTACTGAACCGATTTTAATATTTTTTTTTAAATATGCGTTTTGTTCCCACTTAGGCCACAGGGTGATTTTTATTTCGATTAATGGTCGCAATATTTATTAATTAACAATAAAATGATTTCTTACGTTGATTATTGTTATTTATTGTAAGTTTCATAAGTCTAAAACAGATGGCGCCTTAGATCAGTTTTTAGGTTTTTACAGACAATTTTAATACTGTTTGACATTAATATCTCATAGATGGCGCTGTGTTAGAAATACCAACGCTTCACATAAGCTACAATTTAATGGCATAAACACCACGTGTTGCTGAGGCTAAAGTATAAGTGAAATTTATTTCGTAGTAAACGCAATACAGTGAAATCCAATTGTTCTTACTTTGTTAATTTTTGGTATTAACATAGATGGCCACGTGTTATTTAGAAACAGAAACCTTAGCCACAGCAACGTGTGGCCGGGTCTGCTAGTAATCTGTATATTAATATGTAAAGCAAAAACTTTGTACCGCTTTTTACGAAAATTGTGTGAACGGAGGATTATGAAATTTTCCACTCTTATAGAAAATATAGAGAAGGAGTGCAGAATGATAATTTTTTTTATAATTAATAAAAAAATACGTTAAATCAATAAAAAAAACATTACATACACTCTACCATATATTTGACACACGCACACATGCATACTATTTGTTTATCGTCAAACTTTTCTTATTGCTTAGTCTATGGTCAAATTGAGAATAGATTAAATATTGTTTGTTTTTATTCATATTTGTCTTTGGCAAAATCTGTGATTATACTCGTAGAAGTATATAGGTAGTCTTTGACAATAGAATCATAATAGTGTGCAAACTTATAATTTCTATTAATTAAATTCGTTTTTCGACTACCGGGGGACCACTGGTAATAATAATAATGTCTAAATGTAGGTGTACTGGAAGAGATCGCTTTTAACAATAAGACGGCTTTATCTACGTTTTGCATTTTTAGTTTGCTCTTTTGTCACTCATTATTTCTGTTTTGTCCAATTTTATGATTTTGACCAATTACCTACTGAAATCCTTCTGCAACAGTTGCGAATGAGAGAGTAATTGCAAATTGTCCCTCTACCCGATGTTATGCAGACGAAATAAAATGTCCCTAAGAAATAAGGTGACACTCTACAAAACTTGCATACGCCCCGCCATGACCTATGCAAGTGTAGTGTTCGCTCACGCGGCCCGCACTCACTTAAAATCCTTCCAGATTATTCAATCCCGTTTTTGCAGGATAGCCATCGGAGCCCCGTGGTTCGTCAGGAACGTCGACCTCCATGATGACCTGGACTTAGAATCCATCAGTAAGTATCTGCAGTCGGCGTCCATGCGCCACTTCGATAAAGCGGCACGACACGAGAACCCTCTTATCGTGGCCGCCGGTAACTACATTCCCGATCCTGCGGACAGAATGGAAAGCAGTCGACGTCGCCCAAAACACGTCATCTCGGATCCTCCCGATCCACTAACGGTGCTTTTAGGTACTTCAAGCACCGGTCACCGTTCTCGTCGAACCCGTCGCTTGCGACGAAGGGCTCGACGAGTAAATTAACTCTCAGACACAGCCCACTGAGTTTCTCGCCGGATCTTCTCAGTGGGTCGCGTTTCCGATCCGGTGGTAGATTCTGCGAAGCACGGCTCTTGCTAGGGTTCGTGTTAGCAACGTCATCAGGTTTGAGCCCCGTGAGCTCACCTACTAGCCACGGTTACGCTGAAATAGCCCCTAAGGCTATCAGCTTAGGTAGGAAAAAAAAAGCAAATTGTCCGAAGCGCCTGATTGACTATTTTTGGCCCATTTCCCTTAAACATATTGCTTCACGGATATGAAAGGAGCCGTTTGAGTAAGCAACACTCAACAGGAGCTTCAGTGAGGACGGAGAATTAAAAATACGTCCGTAAAAGGACAAGGTGTTTCCGCTTTTTCTAATGTTCCTCTTAAGTTAAAAACATTTATTACAATTAATTACAAACATTTATCTCAAACCAGGCAGTTCGTTTGTGGTGTGCTGTTAAATATGATTGTATTTAAGAATGAATCTAATCAATGTAGAAGAGCATACTAACAAACTCACCAAGATGTGAAATACAAATATTTTATTTAAGACCGATGACCTACTTCGAGAAAACAGAGAGTTTATCAATTTTGTGGATTTTATTTGTACTAGTTAGGTACACGCAGTTACTTCATCATAATATAAGTAAGTCGAACCTGTCTGCAGGATTAGAACTTTTGCATATATTGATTATATTTGATTTCGTAACTACGTCAAAGTTGATTAAACATATTCACCGAGCTCTCTTCTCACGAATGTGCTAGGTACTTCAGAAACTCATCACAGTCACGGCGATTTGTGAAAACAAATTTTAAGTTTAAACTATTTTATTGAATTAATAAGACCTGAAGTGACCTATACAAATATGCCATACCTATACAAATACCTAGTTAACCTTTAAGAATGATGAAGCGTGAAGTTGCCGAGGTCCGCGACGACCTCGCGCCTGGCGACCAGCCTCCCGACATATTACATTGACACATGAAGTGGAGCGGATCGAGAAGCAATCATGCGACTGGCGTGGCTCTAATGGAACTGATAGAGTGTTCAATATTACGTCTCCGGCTGGACGGCTGCCCGTGCGGCTCGGGACTGTCACTGTGCGTGTGTAACAATCCTTCTATACTTCCTTTATGAAGTCATGTATCCGCCATTCTGTGAACTTTTCGGCTCACAATAAACAAGTCCTAGTACCGTCTGCACACAACAGATGGCGGGCCGGTGCATATTTTGCACAGAGAGGTTCTATACTGAAATAAAATCTTCAAACTTAATATTTTTCAAATGTATGTATTTGTGCGGGATTTATAAAGGGACGTTATTTATAAATATTAGTTGAAGGGCAAGTCGGTGTAAGAATTAAGATGTCAGTGAGGGTAAGATACCATCGTGGCCTAAAGGATAAGACGTCCGGTGCATTCGTTGTTGCGATGCACCGGTGTTCGAATCCCGCAGGCGGGTACCAATTTTTCGAATGAAATACGTACTTAACAAATGTTCACGATTGACTTCCACGGTGAAGGAATAACATCGTGTAATAAAAATCAAACCCGCAAAATTATAATTTGCGTAATCACTGGTGGTNTTTTTCGGTTACGCGTCACATTTTTCCGTTACGCGCCATCTTTTTTGTATTCATGTCTATGATAATAAAATCCTTTTGTTTAAACTTTATCTAATTTAACTTTATTTAACCAATTTCTAGAAAGTTGCATGTAGATCATTTTTCGAAAAATAAGGCCATAAATAAGTTTCACTTCTTACGTGTGTACACTAGTACACGCACACATTTTTCAAATGTATGGAATTAATGTTTCAATTAATTCTAGTGTCACGCGTCGTAACCTTGTCTTGCGACCACTATTTGTAATGGAACGTCGAACTATGGAGAAATCAAACTACATACTAGCAGTTTTCAGCGAGGGGGAGGGTGATGGGAGAGATGTGCTCCGCTTCACTCTCCCCCCTTTGCCTTTTCATGAGTTTTGACTCACGAGAGGCTCGAACGTGGGTTGTTGAGCGACAGGAGGCTTTAGTCGATTCGACTCCGACATGCCCCGCCCGCCATCCCCAGTGGAGGGTGGGAGTCCGGCGATTTCTTCCTGACCAAAGAAAAAAGCTGTTTTCAGCAAATTAATCTAATAAATAATAAATCTAATTATTTAAATATACATATAAAGGCACGAGGTTGCCTTCATCAGGATTGGCCATGATTATTCACTTGAGCGCATAGGCGAAGAACAAGGTTAAAGTCCAAAATCAATTATATCATCACTTTACTTCACAAACGATTCCAATTACAGTTTATTTCTAAAATAAATCACTTTTTCTTTAATTAAGAATCAATCACAATGAGCACCCATGTTTAATGTGACCATACGTCTCGCTTTGTGCGGTAATTTCCCGCCCTCAGGCTGTCCGTCTCGCTGTCCTCAACGAGAACAAGAATGTCCCGTTTTCATGCAGCATGCCGTGCATGTGCTTATTAGAAACTCACCGAATACTTACTTATCCCAAATCCTTATTGTATTACAAAATACATTATAAAGTAACTCTAATTTTGCTTTAGAAAAGTAGTTTTTTGTTGCGACATTATTTATAAATATTAGTTGAAGGGCAAGTCGGTGTAAGAATTAAGATGTCAGTGAGGGTAAGATACCATAATAAATAATTTCAAGTCATTTTTTAAATCATATTTTTTATTTTGCACTTAAATATTACGTATCCTGTATATGTATTTATTTATAAACTGAATTCCGCAGGCGTCCCGCTTTAACAAGAAAAAAAAAATGGTCACGTTACCCATGTTATA